GACGGCAGGCAAAACTAAGGCCGGCGCATCTTGAGCACGTCTGTGCGATGGGAAGACGTCATTACTCAGCTCAGTGCAGCCCCCCCCCCCCCCCCATTTCAGAGGGAAGACAAGACTCAGCCGCCGGCTCCCTACGACACGGCCACACTGGGCAGATATGCTCTGCTTGGCTACACGATCAACCCCACCATCCTGTACTTCTGGTAAGGCATCACTGCTGACAGCTGCAACCAGCGGCGCTTCCACATCGCGAGTCCACGAGCCTAAAAGAAAAACGAAACATGACGAACGCTTTCACTTGCTCGTCTTTTCTACTGAGGAAGTCATTGCATAGCTTATACACCGGCCATTCAGAGATATTGATGCAATTTTCAGCTAAATGTCAGCCGTGATGTTTGTCTGCTTTTGTCCCTGTGCAGTAACGCGAATCGTATCACAAAGCAAGTGTAATGTTAAGTTGTAACTCGGCAAAGGCCACACGATCTTCGCTGCAGCAGAGTGACGCAGAGTGACGCAGGGTGACGCGATGTGACGTGCGTGCGACTCGCGTTACACTGAGCCGCCCGCACAAGACACACGCGCATCCATGACACACGCGCATGGCCTCCAGTAATCGACTTCCGGCCTTTCTGCTGGTTTTCGACAGGTATAAGTGGCTGGACAAGCGGTTCGTCGGCACCTCCATGGCTGTCGTTGGCAAGAAGCTAGTATTGGACCTGGGAGTCATAGGACCCATCAACATCTTCGTCTTTTTCACCGGTACGAAGTGAAACATCAGAGCCCGCAGAATGCCTGTGACCCAGTTTGAAACCACACAACAGAAAAATGCAATTCAACGGAGGTTCTTCGTGCCGGTAAACTGGCTTGCGGCTGTATCTAGCGCCAATCAATTTTGCTTTGTCGACGGTTGCACAAAATTGTCTCGTGTTTGTACACGCAAGCCGTAAAGCTAAGGGTCAGGGAGACACCATGTTTTTTACTGCCCATGAAGTGCTCGGAGGGCTCTAGCACGGCGATTGGTGCCGTAAGATCCGTAGACTTCCACATCGCATTCCCCGAGGGTTGTGTATTTTGTATCTTCGTTCTGTTTCATACGCTTGCAGTGATGAAATGATAAACCGTTACGATATCGTTGTGAAATGCGTGCAGTGTGACGCACTCCGCTTTCTCGCCAGCACACTTGTTCAGTTGTTGTTTGAATAACTTGCTCTTGCCTTGCAGCCATGGCCCTGATGGAGAGGAGGGAGGATATATTTGCTGAGCACAAAGACAAATACATAGGAACATGCCTGGTAAGCGTCTGCTTCCCTTCAGTCCAAGGTGTCACCAGGGGTTGACAACTGGGGAAACGATGACCTGGGGAGGGGCAAATGGGCGGCCTGGGGGTCAAACCGCTGAGACAAAAGAACCGCTGCTGCCGCCAAGGCGCCGCGTATTCCTCGGGGGCCAAAGCTCTCCCCGCTCCCCCTCCCCCCACCCCAATGACGACAATTTTGCCTAAAACAGTTGCATCGATGTCTCGCTGAAATGTATGCCCCGTTGTTCGTGCAAAAGATTAGTAATAACGTGCACATACGGCGGCGCAGCCAAGAGGGGCTCTTTGACCCATCCCCCTCCCCTCTTCAGGTGGTGGGGTGCCACTACTTTTTGGTAGTTAAGGCCGCAATCGGGTCATAGAGTTCATAGAAACGATACCCGTGGCATCAAGATAAGATCCCGAGCCTAAAATAAAACCAAGTTCGAAACGCAAGACCCAAAGCTGCGAAGGGGTCCCCTGACTGAAGGATCCCCATGACCCGAGCAGGCCTTCTCCGGGTGAAATCCTGGTCACGTGACCACGCAAATGTACCGAGCTAAACTATTTTCATCCCATTTAAGTGTCCGCAGATGGACTATTCGGCAAGCGAGCGCCAGTTGTTAGCACGCTATTATCTCGAATATGTCATAGAGCGTTCATGTGTTCCGATTTTGAAGAGCGCCCTCTGACGTCACCCCGGCGTCCTCTGACGTTACCCCGTCGGCGCCGTCTGCTTTTCAGAAACAAGTGTACTTCTGGCTGCCGGCCCAGGCCGCCAACTTTTTCCTCTTGCCCAACCGCTTCCGGGTGCTGTACGTGGGTGCTTGCTCATTCCTCTGGCTGAACCTGCTCTGCTGGATCAAGCGCAGCCCGGTGGAGGGGGCGAAGCAGGACTGACGACAGCTCGCGAGCGGCTGGTAGTCGCTGCGGGCGAGTGGCGCACCGTTTGGAATCGCTGTGGCGAACCATATGTGATTTGGTGGCCAACCATATGGGATTGCTATGCTGCACCAAAGCGAGCCCATCAGGGGCAACTGGGCGCCCGCGTCGAGGCTATCTAGAGGGATCAGTGCAATCTGTGTAATTCATGCGAAACGTCTACACACAGTGCTTTCGCGGTGTGGGTTTGCATTGATACGTGTGCGTCTTATGCGATAGGGTATTTTAGAAGGGTATTCGATATCCCGTGTACATGGTCCATGGATTCGTATTGGTGCCTTCATGTGTTACGAATACAAATACATATACGCACTTTTCCCTTCCCTTACAGGAATGAAAGCTGCGGGTTGTGGCGTGGCCAAGAGGGAAGGCTCTGGGGCCATTGCGTGCCGTGGAATTGGCGGAGACTCCTCGGCCAAAGATCGCAGCACTTTTTGACAGCGTAAAATGTCCTGCGGACTTCCCAAATATGAAGGGTTCCGTAGGTGTAAAAAAAGGACCAGAGGGCTCAAAAATCCTCCCAACTAAAAAAAAACAACACAAAAGCATCGGAGAAGCTTTAGGGACTAACAAGGTGGTCCCTGTGACCCACTTTGCTTCCTTGCTAGCGAAGTCCTGGGTACCCTGCTGGGCGTGACTGAAATTATGATCCGCCCGCCTGCGTAACCAGGGCGATCTGAGCGCCTTTGGTGGCTAGGTAACAAACCATCTCCGTCGGATTGTGTTTGAGTGAGACAGCAAATGTGGATCTCCTTGTGGTTGTGACTAAGTGTCTGAAGAAGAGAACATCGTTCTAAGCCGGTGTGTGGCCCACCAAAGTGTATCATTACAGCAGACTTAAGTGAACACATCAATGAAATGGGCCAGAGATAGGGCGTGATCGATGTTCACACAAGGAATGGATCGCTACAGGTCACTGCCTGTAGCGATCCCATGAGTTTTACCTGTATGCTTTGATTAAGAAACATAACCAACTCCAGCTCGGACTCTATCGGACGTAAAATGAACTACTAGATACTATTTACACCAGGGAGATACTACAGTTCATGCCAAAAAGCCACTTCATATTCCCTTTAGCAGTACACACAACTTCTACCACCGACGTCTCCTTTCGCAAAATCAGACGAGTTCACATGGAAAAGTGCGTATATCGCTGTGCAAGCCAAAGGTTGCCGCGTTTATTCGGTAGTCAACAATCAAACTATAGGCTTCCTTTTGGACACAACGGATGCAGCTTAAGATTGCTCGCAGGTGACTCACTCACTGCTGATCAAACGAATGTTCACTGGAAGTGGTGCGGCGTAAAACTAGTAGTCAAAACGCTGTGAAACCAGTCCTGTCACGCAACGCACAGCAACGCAGTCGAAAAACTCACACGGCGATACGAACTTGCGGCCAAAATATCACAGCTTGGTTTGCGCATGAGCGCTGTTACAGAGTCGCAAATTCACAACTAGTCGTCCTCCATTCAGCCCCATTTTTGCGGACCGTCGCTATCTCTGCATGGATGCTTTCGTTATGGTTTAAATGACAGCGTGACAGTCCTCCCTGCGGTGGCACCCCAGCAAGGGGCACGTCGCATGGAGCGAAAAAACTTCAAACATACCCTCACGATCTATCTGGTTGGAGCTAAAACAGCTACGATAGGGTATTCTGATGTGGTATAGATGAAGTGTGGACACTGACTTCGGAAACCGGGATGCCCCAGATGTAAAATTCGTGCACTGCAGTGGCGCCTTCCTTCAGTCGAAGCCTTCCCTCGTCGACGTGACGTCACACCCACCGTTCGTCTTCAGGACGCGCTGGGCCGGTATGTAATGGAAGACCCCGCCCACACGGTGGCAGATCGTCACTGTCACCTGGTCCTCGCCCTCGCTACCAGAGCTTTCGACACTGTCCGCTCGGCGACGCTGCGGTCGAAGTTGCGGCTCTGACTTGAACGGCACGTAGTTCCAGTCCCTGCGAACGAAAGCAAGGCAGTCTAACTCGACTACGACGGCTAAATAAGCTTAGTTTGGTTGCAGCTGACTTACTGAAAAGAGGAACTTGAGAGGCATGTGTGTAACGAAACTAACAAGGCAACTGCAAGACTAACAAGGCCCGACTAGCCATTACACTTGACGTGATCCAAACTCAGTAACTAATCGCAAAGCTAACAAGTCGCGATCAAACGGTCGCTATTTTCAAAATTTCATCTACACATGGCACACGAAGTCCGTTTTAAAGAGAACTCCTCGCCGTTGATTACATACCACAGTGGTATCCAATAGTTTTGAGTACTGACGCAGCAGCTGAGACCCGCAGACTTACACGGCGGTACACGACTGCTCACGCTTGGCTCACGCTCACCTGAACATGTCGAACCGCTTGAGAAGGTGCTCCGCGTGTGCCTGCTCCCGCCCTCTCTCCTCTCCCGCCGGTGTCATGTCTAGGCTCGGGTCATAGCTGTCCACGTGCCGTCCCTCACAGCACCCTGGCGCTGCACAGGGGACGTCACCGACAGCCTCGTCCAGCTTGTCTGGCGAGCGCTGTGTCCCCTCCTCCACCGGTGGCGAGGCGGACCGGTGGCGCCGGGGTGCGGCCGGCGGTGGAAACATGAACTGGCGGAACGCTGCCTCCAGAGAGCCGTGCGACCGCGAGCCCTGGAAGGGGGGGCGCTGTCGGGGGCGGCACGCGCACGAAAGCCGGAAGCGCCGACAGTGGCGGCGGCAGCGGGGCCACCTCCAAGTTGCCCAGGAGCGCGCACAAGTGCTCATCCGGGGTCGGCGGCTGCTCCGTTCGCGTCGGCGCTGAAGCTGGAGCTGGAGCTGGCGCTCGGGTTAGCGCCAGAGTTGGCGCCGAAGCTGGTGCTCGGTCTAGCGCTGGGACCGCAGTTGGGGCCGGAGGCGGAGCTGGAGTTGGAGCTAACACTAGAGACAGAGCTGGCACGGACGTTGCATCGCGAGCTGGCGCTGGTGCTGGCGCTGGTGCTGGTGCTGGTGCTGGTGCTTGCATTGGCAGCAGGGCACGCTCAGGAGCCGTCGCTGTCGCCGTCGCCGCGGGCGCCCGTCGAGAGCGGAGAGCCCGCCCTGTGCCGATGCGGGCCTGAGTCCGGGAGGCTCCCTGCATCGCTGACCGGGTGCTCCTTCTGCGGCCCTGACTGCGCGCGCGGCCCCCGCTCGGGCCTGCCTGGCGGGGCGCGGCCTCGCCCAGTTGCACCTGTGCGTTGTCTAGGAACGGCTGGATGCCGTAGTAGCAGAACAGGCTGGAAGACGGGGCGAGAGCTGGTGAGAACCAACCAGGAACGCGAAAATTGACAGAAAGAATGGAAGAATGCCCTCCCTTAAACGACAAACGTGAGAATGATATACAAAAAACATGACGTTGCAAACAACACTTGGGGCTTCTTATATCACGTTCAAGACGACAAAGAAGCCAATGACGGAGACAGCGGTGTGCGGCCAGTGGAGGCCTAGGACACATGCTAGGTGGTTGCTGTCGTGACCTGCCGTACCACGTGACGGTAGGGGGTTCAGACAGCCTGCCGGAAAGCACCAACGCAACGCTGTACCGACCCAATCTGAGGATGCAAAACATGCTGTTACGCCAAGCTGTAGCATGGTCCGTTAACATCATGCTACAACGTGGTGCTGCCACGTGGGTTGCGGGGGTATGTCGTAGCCAGAGGCGTGGCTGGTACACGGCTGTATTGGTACGGCCTGAATTTTGAAGAACGATTTTGGTCCCAAGCGTAGGTGCTACCAAGGCCCCCCATCCCTTTTTAGCCCGCTTTTATCTTTCATTTCAGCACCTTAGATGGCACCTGGCCAAATGTTGGGATTAGCGTATTGAGTCATGAGTCGGATCGTTGGGCAAACATTTCGTTCATATCACGTGCATAGCCTCCTACGATGAGATGCAACAGTAGCGCAGGCAGGGGCACAGGAGGCACGTGCCCCCCCCCCCCCTTCCACTTGGGTTTCTAGGAGCCCGAAGGGCCCCTCGGAACCTGCGATGAAGAGCCCAATTTGAGTGCCTGAAGGGCCCGAAGGGCCAGCCGGAGGTTTCATTCAGGGGCACCAGCCGCAGGGTCGAGCACTCCATGCCAGTCAATCGGCCGTGCGTGCTGATCAGGGGCCCACCGAGTCGATGAGGGCCGATATTCAGTCAGACACCACAACCAGTAACGCATATTCGGCTCCGTGGCGACATGGGCCTAAGGGCCCATTTCCCAAGCAGGGACAAAGCTGGAGCCAGCCATTCACACTGCTCGTGGCACCACGGCGCCGAACAGGGGGCCTGTGTTGTCAAGGGGCCCGGAGTCGACCAGAGGCAGTGTTCGAGGAGGTCCGAAGAGAGGGCCTAGGGGGCCCACGGATCCGATGATCAAGGGTCCGATTAGAGGATCTAAGGGTATAAAGGACTGGTCGGAGTCTTATTCAGGGGCCCCGATCCGCGAAGCAGGACCCTCAAATAACGATCAGAGGGCCCTTCGCGCTGATCGCAACCCCCTGAGTAGATATGGCTTATGTCGGCCAGGTACCACCGTGCCACATTGTCGGTTCCGTGTCCCCCAGCCGACTATGTTAGCCCGAGGACCAATTTACTAATCAACTGTAATCGCGGAGCCAGTGATTTACACTGGTCGGGGCATTGTATCTATCAGGGGTCCACAGCGCCTAATAGAGGGCCCTCTGCTCGCAAGAGCCCCGAGACGACCAACGGAAGTGTTCGATGAGACCCGAAAAGGGGCCCGGGCGGCCCACCGGAGCCGACTATCAACGGCCCGATTAAAGGGCAAAAGGACCCAAAGGACTGACTGTGGGTCACAAAGATAATCGTGGCTCGTAAGATCGTGACCTACTATATCAGTCGGAGGTCCTTTTACACCGTTTGAGGAGCCCCTGAGACAATGCGGTTGTCCAAGTCCGTCAGGGACTACAAAAGCCGAACAGTCGGTTCCATGTTCTTCTGAACGCTCGAGACCCATTACCCAAGCAGTAACGAGGCCCAGGTCCGCGATTTGCAGTGCTCGGAGCTCCTGACACAATGAAGGGTTCCTGTGTCGGGTCAGGAGCCACAGTGCAGAACAGGGGTGCTGTGGCGACAAGTGTCCCCGAGTCGGAGCGGTGTTTGAGGGAGCCCGAAGAGGGACCGAACGGTCTCTCGAGACCAAAGATCAAGGACCCGTTGGGATGGCTGAAAGGTCCGAGGGGCTGGCTGGAGATCACATTAAGAACCGACACCGATAGGGCCGTGATCTCAAATATCAGTAAGATGATCTCTTGCACCGACAAGAACCTTCCGAGACAGAGCGTTTCACTATTTTGACCAGAGATCGCGGAAAACGAACGGTCGGTTCCGTGTGGGTCTGAGCTCTGGGTGCCCATTTTCCAAGCAAGAACAACATTCGGCCCGCGATTTACATTGGTCGGGCTCCTGTATCGTTCAAGGGCCCACCGTGCCTAACAGGGTATTCTGTGTCAACAAGGGACCTCAATTCTGTCAGGGGAAGATTTGCTCAACAGGGGCGAGGACAGGAGCCCGAGTGGCAGAGGGTCTCTTGCGTTGGTCGGGGTCCTCTGACAACTGAAGGAAACACAGGAATTTATGATGAGGGCTCACACTGAGGTAATAAAAGAGACCTGTGCCAGTCAGGGCCCCCAGTGCCGAACGGCGGGGCCTCCAACCCTATTCCAGCATTCACCGTTAAGCCTAACTGGAGTCTATGTGCCAATTATTTGACCACCTGCGGTGAGAAGGAATGCTATTGTGTCAAAGATGGTTCATGCGTCGATCCTGGGTAAGCTGTGCGGGTCAGAAGGCCTCCCACGTCCGGGAGCGGACCAATAAGATCAGATGTATCCCTCTAAGGTCCTCCGAATCGGCCAGGGATGCCGCCCCATGTCGCCAGAATGACGGCCGGAAAACACAACGTAGTGGGACAGAATGGCCCTTCAGCCCTTGACTGGGATCAACAATGTGCCCCCTAGTGTTGCACTTAGGAGGGCCTTTTACCGGGAATAAGGGGTCCCATTAGTGCTGAATGGAGTGACTCAAAATGAGCTGAAAACGCACAAGGCCATCCCATCTTTCCTCGAGAACGTTTAATATTTGGCAAAATTGGCTAGTGAAGGAAGTACCATAAAAACTTTGAGCCTTTGCGCCGGGTGCCAACAGTGTAGTGGTAAACGCGCATGCGCCAACCACTGCGCGTCTGGAAAACAACAGGTACGATTACGTACGTGCAGGCACGTTCGATTCCCACGACGCCGCCCGCCCTTCCCGCCAGGGTGAGGGGCTGGCGGTGCCATTTAGATCCAGCACTTGAGTTCGTCATAAAACCCAATGACACGTCCATAATCTTGGGGAGCAAGGATAGCAATAGCTTGGGTTGCAGTTTTTACAAACCGAAGGACGTTGGCCACTGCGAGTAACGGCGAGGCCGGGCGCCGAGCGCGCAACAATGACCATCGTAAAGTAATGTTTCTAAATGTCTTTCAAAATTAAACGCGTGCAGTTCAAAGATTGCCATGAGCGCATCTTTTTTACAAGTTTGAGAGAATCTTCTGGACAGTTTGACAGGAACAGCAACGCGGAAGATAGAGATTTTACCTTACTCTTTCAGCTCTACCACTAGATTCCTGCACCACTTCGGGGTGCTGTGAAGACCAATGCGTTATTGTCATGAATCTAAAAACCGCGCAGGTAAAAGATACGCCCGAAATATCTCTAAATGTACGTTTTGATGACCAAAAGTATTCAAAAGGCATTCCTTTCAGATGCGTCACCATTATCGTCCACCTATTAGCCACGACCTAGTACTAAACACGGGCCGACGCTGAGCGGCCTAAGAAGACTGCGACGCCTGGCGTCGAGTTTTGTTACTAAGATATCATTGCGTGCATGCTCAAAACTACGTTACATAATTTATGCCACTCATTAGTTCTCACCGAGTGCTTAACATATCCAGACAAACATGGCTCGGCCATGTGACCACAAACTGTTGAGCCATTTTCATCTTCAATCTACATTCGCGGAATCCTCGCTATCTCCGTACAGTCCGCGTAAACACTTTCAGCTATAGTGTAAACATTTTCACAGAATTTCTGAGTTCTATCGGTTCAAAAGATTCCACTGCACTATTGTAAAATGAAGAGAACCGGTGATTTATTACATGCAGTCATTTCACGCATGATTTTGTTAGTGTACTTACTGTGAACTTAAGGCAGAATCGATCCCGCGGCAGCGTCCGGTCTATATTCTAGTTAAAGAAGATAAAAATGTGTGATATATTTATATATATATATATATATATATATTTATATACATATATATATATATATATATATATATACATGTGTGCGTGTATATATCGTATAAGAAAAATATGTTCTTAAAACAAATGGGCCATATCCGGCGATTTTGTGGGGGCCCTTTGTGAACCCTGTGCCTTTTCTTGCCAAAGCTTTGGCAGCGCCCCTACAATGAACATGTTGTTTCGTGTCATGAAACCAGGCCATGGTTCGATCGGATCACTCACATGCTATGCAGGCAGTTTGTGGTGCCACAACATAGAAGCCTGGGCACTAGGTAGAGCTGGTTTCGGTTTGCGTTGGGTCTGCCAATCGTAAAACACTATCAGCTGGACTGAGCCAATCACAAGCCACCCTCGGCACGTGCGCTGATCACAAATCACTGTCAACCAGTCACAGGCGTCCGCTAGCAAGTTAGCGCACGTCCCAATGCTTCCGACCGAGTTTATTTTAATGTTCGCCTCATAGCTTCAAATTGGGGTCAAAACACGCTGTCTAGCTGGCTACAGAGCAACGTGATGCAACGCTCTGGTTGTCACTTTTGAACACACAAGCTTTGCCTTTATGCCAACGCGCAGGTACATGAATACCCAAGAAACGGCCATTTTTGGTAAGAACAAGATACGACGGGCCGGAGGCCTTCAAAAGACCCAATAACTCAACGGAGCAGTCGAATCGGTCTAGCCCACGCTTCCGGACGCTGCTTTATGCGCCGCGTCTGATTATGTAGACCACTTTGACGTGCTTGTTACAGACAGCACAGAAAGAGGAAAAAGGAAAGGAGGCGGGTAAACCAAGCCAAAGCCGATCTCACGCCTCCGCTGGTGCTAACTCATTAATTAAGCTAGAACTGCGAGAAAAAACGGTGAGCTTCTAACATGAAAGGAGGCCGACGGTATCCAGGCGTAAGGTTTTACACCAACGTGTCGCCTACCGGGTCAGATCAATGACCCAACAGCAGATAAAGCTTTACGTGTGAAGAACCACAGATCAAAAATTTGTGTGGGTAAGCCATTAAATGACAGCTGGAGGATCATATGAAGCATTCCAAACACAATTTTTACGCCCGACACCACTTTCCTTGGATTGGTTAGGCCACGTCGACCCAAATTCGTTCACATACCAAAATGGTGTGTAAATATTTGAGTGAAACGGTATTTTAATGTGCCAAATGGATGCAAATTTAGGCTCAAACGCACCTGAAATTCAGATTAAGTGCCCGCAATCATTTGGTATGTATAATGTGGAAAAGCCGGCGATCATCCACATAGTTCAACTGCTGTGTGGCCTCGGCTGATTTTGAACGGTTGACGTCCTTGTAGACGAAGCAAGTGTCATGGCCCACACCGATTGCTACAGTAATTGTAATGTTGAGGCGCGTTATCTGCCGTTGATCTTGATGCTCCTCTCTGTATCCAAATGGGGAATATGAAAAGAAATAAACTCTTCCAAAACATGAGCTGACCATGGATTCTATAGATAAATTAACCAGCGCAAATAGATCGAATTTGACTGAAGACTGACAATTTCCAAAACAAAAATGAAATATTCCCGCAATTGCAATCTTGTGAATTCGGGCGAAATGCGATGTATTAGTCCGGCCTTTTGACACAAATTCTAGGAATCTTTCGACTTTCTCAATTTCGAATATTTGTGCGAAAGTGAATTATGGTGGGCGGGGAGGACAGCCCTGCATATATCACTATGAGTGATAGGCTGGATGGACTGCACGTTGGAAAGTCGATGAATGAAGTATTCAAGTTCGGAGACGATATCGCGGAATCGTGACCCTTTTTGCAAGCGAGCTGCTTGATCAGCATCATACTATGTTGCATGTGTCCAATACATCTTTGGAATACATCGGATATCCCACGGAGCCATCATGACACAGTTTGCCGCCACCATGCCATCGAAGTGCATTAGCCCGCTCCTGGTCACCACGCCTCTGCGCCGGTGACCGTACTCACGCCAGAGCTCGGTTCTCGAAGCCTGGAGGCGCCCGGGTCAGGTCAGGCTCGTAGCCCGGTGGTGCCTGCGCCAGGCTGGGGTCGGACCGTGATGACGACATGGATGATGCGCTTGGACCGGCCGCCTCCTCCCGACCACTGCGGGAGCAGCAAGACGAACGGCGGCGTCACGAAAGCACCGGCGAATACAGGCGGCAGTCCAGATCGCAGTCGATGGAGAAAAGCAAAGTAAAAGCATGCAAATGAAGCTGCTCGCATGGAGTAGCTCAACAGGGTAAAGAGGGCCCCCGTGTTTTCTTTTGTCGTTGTATCTTTTAGACCCAGCGCTGCCACGAGTCCGCTGTTCCAGATCACCGCAGGACTCAGCTACTCTCCAAAAGACTCACCTTCCTGACCCCGAATTGAGCGGGCAGCTCGGATTGGCGATGACAGTCACGTGGCAGTTGGACCGGGACGGCATGTTGTCATGGTGACGATGGACGCGTGACGGACTGCCGCGCCGGTAACTCATACTGGTCCTGATCAGGAAACACGAAAAATCTGACAGTCCGTCACTGGTATGTCATTTCTTACGCCAAAAAGCACAGTGATGGTCACTGTCGCAACCTTTCGCGCTGGATACCGCAGGCGGAACCAGTAAAGTACGAGCCGTAGGGATTCTCAACCCCCCCCCCCCCCCCCACCCACACACAATCACAGGGTTGAGGTGCTGCGAACCAACTCGCTATAACCGATCCGCAAAATGCGACCCGCCAAAAATAGCAAAAAATACCCGTTCTCAAAATCAGGAACGGAACTGAAAATGCACTGGACGACACCAGGCCTCATCCGCCACATGCCTTATCACAGAGCAGAGCAGTGCCTACAGTTCATAGTTTTTGGGAAATCGGAGCGCGTTTTGTGCACAGACGCAAAGGAAAACCACCGAGGATGCCTGCGACTTTTGCGGAAAGTGACTGCTAAGTGACGATGGGCTAAGATGGCCAGAGAGAATGAAGAGGAGAAAGAAAGAAGAAGAAAAGAGAGAAAGAAAAAGGCACCAAGCAGGAAAAACGGCGCTGGGGATCAATTCCAGCTCAAATGTGTCAGCTAAGGCTGAGTTCGAAATGCATGGTTTGTGGGCACATTTGTTGATGCCTTTGACCAGAGGGTGAGCAGAAATTTTTGCTTAAACAGAGCTGAAGGTACCATGTCATACCATAACATACATGTATTGTTAAACTATCTTAAACTATCTTAATGTACATGTCTAATTTCTGTTGAAGCAGAGCTGAATGTACATACCATACCATACCATGCGTCATACCTGGCCATACGTGGATGAAGCCTTTTGTGCAAAGATAAAATAATTTGTCAAAAATCTCATCTTAAAGTTGGCATAGCATGGCAAAAACAAAATATCTTAAAACACAATCCAGTTCGATCAGGTTTTCGCCATATGTTTGTCTATCCGGCAACCGAATTTGTAGTGCGCGTTATGTCTGGCTTAAAAGGTGAATGTTTGCCGTCTAGTATTGTGTGCTGTATAACATCCTCAATATGTAGGGGCAGGGGTGAAAGTATATGGTATGTTGGCAAATCAAACGGCCCATTCGGCTACGGTTTTAACAAGCACGTCCTAGACGCAAAAAAAACAAACTCCTGGACATCCACTGACGGTCACTTTCTTTTCTTTTTATTGAGATTTGACCATTTCACCATTTCACCAAGACCATGGGATTTGGCATAACGAGAGCCCCTTGGCTGTCAACATTTTGCAACAACAAAAAACCGAAGTCTGTCCTTTCCCTGCAAAATTTGTGAATCAGTCCACATACGCGAACTAAAAACCTCACCAAATAGAAATATTTCATCCTGAAGATTGTGTGGTCTTTATCCGCACAAAGCTATTGCATTTCATCTCCCGTGATTCATTGTAATTTTGTCAGGTCCAAGTGTGGGAAAAGTGTGCCTCTGCCCACCTGTATGCTGAGGCAAAAACCCCTTTCAACTCCCACCCATTTTACCCCATTTTACCCCAACCCCATCAAAACCCCATTTTAATTCCATTTTAATAGCTGAATGTGATTTTGTTTTATTGTGAAGTGAGTAACTCATTTCATTTGAGACAACTCTCTCACCCCTCCCAAGAGCTTCTATGCGTGGCGCTTCTACTTGGGTGTTGTGGTCTTACTTCCTGCATAATCTCGCCCAGAATCTCTGAATCTGTCGAGCAACAGCCATCATATGGTGGTGTGCGGCAAATAGCGGAACGGAACTTATAATTCCGTAAATTGTGCCCGCTAGTTATTGATCTGACAAGAAGTGCACTTCGTTTGCCTCACATTTGCTGATCGCGAATTATTTAATTAGATGAATGTTGAGAGAAAGAATATAAGCTCAATCACGTTTATGTTTATTGATAAATCAAATAGATAAATATTAAGCTCGGCACCTGTAGGCTAAGAAGCAGTTATAAAGAATGCGGGATCATGAGTCAGCTGCATCGCATTCAAATAAATATAAATGGGCCGCCTATTCAGAATCACTCTGTTTCATTAGTATGGACACTTCGGACTATGCTTGAAAATGTTCGTATCTCAAGTCAATGTGTCAACCATATGTGTATTAAAAGGTTATTAGCTTCTTAATAGCTAACTTCACGCCACATCCACATTTAACATGTAGATTGAATCGTTGATAATTCGGAGTTCATATAATATAAGAGATGACTTTTGTACCATAAGAGGCAATATTGTACAGCGTTTGTATAATGCCAGGAGACCTATTGAAGTGGACGAACTCGTGAGGACGCAGGTGCTACTCCTTGCTTTCACTCACCGTCTTTTCAGAAGCTTGATGAAACCCGTGCAGCGTTTGTAAAACAGTGAATAAGGCTTGAAAAGCTTCCAAACATGAATTCCGCAGCTGACCTGAAAATTGAACGCTTTTTTAGGGCTCCACTTTGCAATTTGTGTATTGGCCCCGAGTCCTGACCAAGAACACCGACTGTGCGGCAGTGGGCGAGCCCTGAGCAGCTCCAGAGCAAGTGATAAGCTTCTAAGTGTTACAAAACACGCACATACGCCGAAGACAGGCAGCCGTGGCTGGAGAAAGCACGGTATTCGAGAAGCTATCTAATTTCCTTGAACAACAGCGACATATTGCGTGGCATCGTAAGATCCGAAAGAAGGCGGTACATCGAAGAAGGTTTGGCAAAGTTTTCTGCCCGTACCATGACCAACTCCTAGATATGAAAACCGACTAGTTACCACAATAGACCCTGACAATTTGCCGCATTGATTGATTTTGGTCATGGACGCTTGCAACCTGTTTTGGGATGGGGAGCTCAAATTCTGACGATATCCATCCTTTAATGTATCTAAATTGAAGCACCAGTTTCGTCATCTAACACTGCCAAAACCACGAGCTGAATGACTCGATAAATTTTTCTTCCTAATATCAGCCCTACAACTTTACCGTGGCAGGATAGCAAGACGTCTTGTAACAATAAAACCGCGTCGGAAACATGCACACGGACATGAGAGCTTATAGAGCGTGCTGCCAACCTTACCAGCTTTAAATTGAGCTCCACTGTCTTTGAGACGCTCCACACCCGGCGGCTTCTGCCCCGCCGGACCCGACTGACAGAACCCAAGGTCACTGACCCCGAGGCGGCCGGTCACTGCCCCAGGCAGGGCAGTCAGCTGACTACAGCTTGGTAAAGAGGCAGCTGGCTCGGGGGTCATTCGTGCCGTTTTTAACGGCAAACTTGAGATACTTAAATCGAGTGGGGACGCCACTGACTGGTCTGCTGCCATGATATTGGAGAACAAATGTGAAGCGCCGACACAAAATGTTCCCGATAGCACACAGGTAAGGTGGAGCTCATGTGGCGATTCCTATATCAGATGTATTACAGGAATTGTCTTACTTGAGGTAGATGGTTGAAATGACTCGGAGGCTGACATGTTTGTCTACTGATGTGTAAAAATAAAGAGATTCAGTAACATAAGAAGATCGTTGATACCGTGTTACTACCAAGACCTCTGCATCTGTATTTTGTTGAATGCTGGGTTAGGGAATACGAAATGAGTTGCGTGGGCGAATGAGTTTTACTTGAACCATGCTAGACTGTTGAACTTGAGCGACCCTGTCCAGACGTTACACTTTCTGGAAGCCAAGATTACTGCAGCTGCTGACGGAACTCTGATCACGCAGCTTGCAGCAAAAAGGAGCACGACTATTCAAAAGCTGCGTCTCATCCTCAGTCAGGCATTTTGGTGCAGGCTGCTTGATCGGCCACGTTTGTCCAGCAGGATTGCAGTATCACCACGTTTGTCCAGCAGGATTCCAGTATCACTACGTTTGTCCAGCGGGATTGCAGTATCACCGCGTTTGTCCAGCGGTATTGCAGTATCACCACGTTTGTCCAGCAGGATTGCAGTATCACCACGTTCGTCCAGCAGGATTGCAGTATCATCACGTTTCTGGTTTATCTCCTCGTTCGATTAACGCGGAGGACAAGTAAAAAATTTTGCATTGAAAAGGCTGAGGAGCACGGGTTGAAACCGTGTCGCCACGCCAATGATCTGGCACGGCAAGCCACGCGGGATACAATAAATATACGAGAATAGCTCCTGATGAAGGAGGGAGCCATCTTCCTCACTGATGATGTCGTGGACCGGCGTGTGCAGCATGTCGTAATGCCCTGTGCGTAAGCCTTAGACCCACCCGCGGGGGGCGTTTTTTTAAAGATTTTGTCAGATCCCAGTAGGCGAAGCGGAGGAGAACACGAAACGGAATGGGATTCCGGCTACAAGTTACTGACGACTCTCAACGCTTTCCGACGCATAGGTGTGGAAGTAATCGGTCCGAAAGCGCTGATTACATCATCATTAAATAACTCGCACCTAGCCGGTCCGGCCCCGGGCACCACCCAGCCCACCGTTAGCCCGGTCTGGCCCCGGGCACCACCAGACCCCTGTAGGCCGGTCCGGCCCCGGGCATCAGCCAGCCCCCTGTAGGCCGGTCCGGCCCCGGGCACCACCAGCCTCCTGTAGGCCGGTCCGGCCCCGGGCACCATCAGCACCTGTAGGCCGGTCCGGCCCCGGGCATCAGCCAGCCCCTGTAGGCCGGTCCGGCCCCGGGCGCCACCCAGCCCCCTGTAGGCCGGTCCGGCCTCGGGCACCACCAGCCCCCTGTAGGCCGGTCCGGCCCCGGGCACCAGCCAGCCCCCTGTAGGCCGGTCCGGCCCCGGGCGACACCAGCCCCCCTGTTGGCCGGTCCGGCCCCTACCCAACCACCAGCCCCCTGTAGGCCGGTCCAGGCGCCGGGCACCAGCCAGCCCCCTGTAGGCCGGTACAGGCCCCGGGGCACCAGCCAGCCCCCTGTAGGCCGGTCCGGCCCCTACCACCACCAGCCCCCCTGCAGGTCGGTCCGGCCCCGGGCACCACCAGCCCTCTGCAGCCCGGTCCGGCTCCGGGCACCACCAGCCCCCTGTAGGCCGGTCCGGCCCCGGGCACCACCAGCCCCCTGTAGGCCGGTTCGGTCCCGGGCACCACCCAGCCCCCTGAAGCCGGTCACGGCTCCGGGCACCACCAGCCCCCTGTTAAGCCGGTCCGGCCCCAGGCACCACCAGCCCGCCTGAAGCCCGGTCCGGCCCGTGTCGATGCTGCCGGCAGTTTGCCGGCCCCCTCCTGGGCTAGTCCAGAGAGATGGTTCCAGACAGTCGAGGTCATTGTTTGAAACGATAGTAGCGATGGGGTTATGAGCCTTCTTTCCCCACACCCAATGACAGTGGCTGTCTACTACGCGCACAGTGATTGTGAGGCGTTCATAGATTTCTGAAGCGATGGTTTGCGTTACCCGTTTACATGAAACATACAGCGACCAGGGCCACGCCTTGTCACCGAAAGGTCTTGTGTTGGCCACCGTCCGCTTCTGGGACCTGTACCTCGGTGATATCACCCAAAGGTCTAGTGTTGGCCGCCGTCCGTTTCTGGGACCGGTACCTCGGTGATGTCACCGAAAGGTCTAGTATTGGCGGACCGTCCGTTTCTGGGACTTGCAGCTCGTTGACAAGCTATGCACAGAATGCGGAAGGCAAGCCCCAAAGAATGCTTTTAAGGCCATGGATTCGTCACCGCAGAACTCTGATACCAGTTATGCGATATCCATTCGATTTATGCGGATGCTAGATTGGATTGGCAACATTTATGATGAAGTTTCTATTTGAGTTTTTGTGAGGGACTGATGATGGTCGCACTATTCACGTAGTGTAGATTGACAAACCTTTCGAACGACGACGGCATTAAAAACGAACACTTAATGGCAAAGTATGATCTTAAGAAAATATCGTGTCTACGGTCCAGTTCTTAATGATAATAATGCTATGGAAGGCTCATGTTACCCAGCTGTCAGCTTTCCGTGTGCCGACTGGCGTTACTCCGACTCCGATGAGAGTCATGAGGACATTCAGAAACCTGTTTGGTGATCACACTGCTCGCAATGTCTGTTGGCGAACATAGCAGATGCGCGGAATATCATGGATCTCTTCTGGATGGATCTCTTGGAGATCCTGCTTCTCGAACGGCTCCTAAGGACGCTCCTGGTGGTTCAGAACTCCACCGAATGGATCGGAGTCTGGGCCCAGGCTGTTGTGACGGATATTGTATTTTTTAAAGTACCCGGCTTTGGGGGCAGGCTCGACGGATCTGGCCGAGACGGAGCTGGTTCGGCCGAGATATCCCAATAAAGCAGATCCGTGGGGTTCGAGTCCTTGGAATCTGTTTTCCGCATTCTGTGTATAGATGTCACTGACTAATATACAAGAAGTAGAGGTGAACAGTGGCCAACAATAGACCTTTTGGCGACTGGTCGCAGCCCTTGATGGGGCGAATTCTGCTTCCTGTTAAACGGGTTAACGCAAACGTTCCCTTCCGAAAGGTGAGAACGCTCTATAACTGCTGCACGTAAGGCGGTCTATGAAATACAGCTCGCATTACGTACTGAGCCACGTTTGAGACAGCCGATGTCACTGAGTGGATGGTAAGTTGGAGGAGGGGGAGGTTAGTAACTGCGATGTTATTATCTTTCGAACGATGACTTCAGCCGTCTGGCGTTGTCTCTCTGCACCAGCACGGGACGTGCCGACGACTGCCGGCAACATCAACGCGAATCAGACCGACCGACAGGCGACCGGGTGGTGTTCGGCTGCCATTTACAAACTTAACCTTAAAATGTGTAAAAAGACGAACATCGAAAGTCTCCAAACAGCTCGCGTGAGAACGGACATGCTCATGACCCTTAAAGGCGTATTCGCAATTAGCGCTGAAAATGTCACCAAAAAGTAATGGGTGATCAAAGCCGTTCAAGCAAAGTTGCAAAACGGGTGAGCCTATTATGCAATTAAAGCGCGCCGTCACACGGTCCGCCAAGTTGGCATGCTGAATGATGATGATGAAGACAATGATGAAAACGGTGATGATAATGCGTGATGACGCTGAGGAAATGATGTTACCTTGCACCCTGTAGCCACTGGCCAGTGTTCTCGGTATGATAACCCCTACATGACTCATATTTTTCAGATAGACATGAATATGCCTGTGATCAGGAAAATGTTCTACGTTTGAAGATATTAAAACAAACACCAGATATGAAGAAATGAGCTTACTTATAGCTAGTAGTATACCTTGAAGTGGATAAGACTGTTCTAGACATCACAATTTCCCTATCTAGTTAACATGTTCCTCATTACGTCATCATTTGATTTCGTCATCGTTCCTTGCACAACATTGATTGGGCGCCAGCTGACAGCCGTTATGCTTTGAAATCGTGCGCACGAACGCCAGATATCAACGACTCTACAATTCTATTTTTATTGACCTTGATCGCCGCATGGCCAGTGCAGCAGCAGGGTTTGAATGACGTTATGATGGTGTCATGGATGCTTGGGTGGCCTTACAATGGACTCCCCCAAATATTCTGCACATCTTTCCGGGTATGTAGCTAATAACTAGAAAGGTTTAGGTCTTTAGAAGGGCAGGGCTGTGAAACGCACCGAGTGGTCTTATAGATGGCTTTCGTAGTTTACACTCCTATGCACATGTAGGACACGCCCTTTACCTGATATAGCACCGAACACCTTACAGTTTGATGTGTTGGTGGACGACGGAACCACTCATTACATGGTCAAAGGTCAGGTCAAACAGTAGCGTTCACAGTTCAGACACGCTGGGAGGGGATAGCATGGGCCATAACTATCGAACCAACAGTGCTTAGTTTTGCGAACGAGAGCCTTACGCTGCTTCCAAGTGGTGCATCTCACTTAGTTGGTGTTTCCTTCATCTCGGGAGCGTATCAACGCGTGGTTCGCTTGACCCGGATATTTTGACATTGTTGCCATCGACATCTCGGCCTCTATCTATCACGCCAATGCAGACGATAGCCCGAGGACGTTGACCTTCGCCTAAACCGCAACTCCCCGCGTCACCACCCCCCTCCCCCCCCCCCCACAGCTAGCCCTCCAGTATCGTCCTACCATAACTGCCCCGCACCTCTCGGCAGAATCACCACCAGCTGACGATTGGTGCCCAGCTCCCCTCACAAGCTCTCGGGACAGACGGAACTTCACAGCCGTCCCTCGCC